TGCGAAAAACATTTTGGAGTAATAATTTTGTGAATAAAATTTAACTAAACTTTAATTTTTAACTTAACGTAAGAAGCACATTCTCAAATAAAAAACCTTTATTGCTTCCTGTGCTATATGTGCCCCAACGATAGCGCATGCTGGGCTAAGCTGAGGTCCAACAAAACTGAAATAATTCCTTTTTTAGTAAAAAACTATCCATGATATCCAATGACTCAGGCAGAAATCTTTCAATTATAAACTACAACTGCTATTAAGAGAATCAAATTCTGCTAACTGTGAAAAATATTTGACATTGAAATATTCGTCATCAAGGACATGATTGCATTGCTCCAGTTCCTTCTTCCATAGTTCTATAAATTTCTTTTGATCCACAGCATCATCACTATCTTGTAGTCGAAACATGACTAGAAAAGTACTTTTATATTTGCTACATCTAAGTTGTTATATCCCTCCTCTAAAAAATTGCCCACATTCCCCGAATTGAACTGTTTCTTAAACTTCAGGCTAAAACTTTTAGATTAGTGAAAAATTCTTACTTACTAAATTAGAACTTTATTGCAATACATTAATATATAAAAAAATACCTCGAACTGGGAAATATGATCTAGGCAAAATTCGTTTCGACTTACGAATGAGCTTTTTATGAGACCAGTCGACATTCCATGCATCGTCCCACGATGGGTACGAAAATGTCTGGAAAGAGTAAAAATAAGTGTAATAAGATGTCTTTAGTTAATTCGTAAAAATTTTAGATTTAACCAAGATAAATTTTTTCAATGTGCAATGTCGGCGACATTCAAAGAGAAGGACGGGAAGATTTGAAGTTTTACATTCATTTTCAATTTCCCCAGAAAATTACTTACCATTCGTACTTTTTCATCTTCATCATCTAATATAACATTCATTGATGTTTTATTTTTCTTTCCTCCTTTTCCATTTTCTAGTTCAATGTCGATTCTTGGTTTCTTTGTTAATGAGGGACCATCTCCCAAAGAGTCATCTTCAAGTAAACCACCTGTCCTTACTTTTGGTAAAGTTCTAAAATTCATATTTCATAGAGAGATAGCCCGATCTCTTACTCTTCAGATCAGTTAGAGTAAGCATTATCTAATGCGTCAACCATAATTAGTAAGCATAGATATTTGATTTAATTAAATAACTGAATTAACAACGTAACGATGCAAGAGCGTAAGACTATGAAGAATACCCATTAAACAGTACATTTAAACATTCACGTTGATGACACATGAATGAACTTACACTAAAAATGAACAATTTGTAAAATCAAAAAATGCGTATCCTATCCAACCAAAAACGCCTCCAGCGACAAATCTAAAATTCACTTTTATAAATAACGATAAAAGAAAAAAAAACATACTGTTCTTCTAGCTGTTATCATTATTTAAGATTTATTTAAAAATTCTAGGTATATGCATCGTCTATAAATGGAGTTAATAATCGACACCATCTGATTGTAACACAACGTGCCTGATACTCAAACGATACTTCTAACGATCAAATCACTTCGTTTTGACTACTTCTGATTTGATTATCCCTGATTCAAACTATTTCACTTGAACTAGTAATACGCTAATCATCTTTGACTATTCCGAGAGTTCTCCCTAATGCAAAGCTACAGAAGTTAATAAAATCTCACGGTTTTCTAACGTTCCGACAAATTTTACTGATTTGATTAACAACGACATATTTTTGGTCAACCAAAATAATCAAATCAAAATTGGTAAAGAATTTTTCATCTTTCTCGGATATATTGTCCGTATCCACGTGTAATTCCACATTCGGATTCAATAACTGACATTTTTGCAGCGATGCTTCAGCACGCTAAAAATTAGCTTCATAAAACAATAAATGCGAAATTCTGACTACATCCGTCATAGAGATTCAGACAGTTATAATAAATCTTGGTAACATAGTATGCAAAGAGTAATGATATAATTAAAAAGTCGAAATAAAATTTTCAACAACAGATTAATTGCTAAATAATGCATTTCAAATAATCGTCAAAAAAAATGCAACGATTGCTACCCTAACTACTTTAAAATCTGATTTCAGTTTAAGTGAGAAAAAAATTAATAAAACCTTTGGCAAGATTAAATTTCGAATTCAAGCAAATTATATTTTAAGAACATACATTTTTTCCTTCACTGCCATGTTGTAACAAAAACTGATTGGAGTAATCATCCGCACAAATCTAAAAAAATCACAGACACTGTTGGAAAAAGATTTAAACTAATTTTCATTCAATCAAATAAGTAATCAGTTCCAGGTACCAAATTCAAATTTAATATTCCTGCTAAACTCATAGCAGTTACAAAGAGATTTCAAAGTGAACAAAATTATGCCTAATACTTGCATATCTGTATATTATTTAAAAACCTAAGTATTTACTGCTTTATCGTCCAATAAGGTTAGTGACTTTAACCCAGTTAACATTAAATTCTTTGCCACTTCGCTTCCACACCCCGACAAACCAACAATTAACACTGTCGAATTGCGCAACCTGTAAACGCTTGAGTTCAACTGAGGCTATCATTTCGGATTATTTTCAAACTGCAATTTCGATGCATTATTTTTCGATGCATTAGCTTACGATTTTCTTTTGAAGCCTGTTGTCATCAGCCTTAAAACGACTTTCTTATGCTTGTTTCCAGTCATTTGTTTCCATTAATTTTTCTTACTCATCGGCTACACAAGTTGCCACATTACTTATTATAATGACAAAAAGATACAGTTAGATAGTTCATTAAGGGAAGATCTCAAAAATTCATCCCGAGTTTCAATTATCACCAAATTTCATTTTAGTCAAATTTAGTCAGTGTAAAGAAAATACATAAAATCAGAAAAAAAGAAACAACAAGGCAATCTTTTACACAGTAACTAGTAGTCATTTGTTGGAAAACTAATGAATCAATTTTTCAATTTTGAAAATACTCATTTAGAAAATGAAAAGAATAAATTTGAAAAGAAGAATGATTTTCACTATAAAACAAAAATAAAGAAAATCTGAAAAACCGATAAATAGTCGTACTGACCTATTCTGAGTTTCCAAACCCCACAAACGTATTTGTCGATCGTAAACAGCTTTCTCGTCCTCACTGATTGTATTTTCTGTGGCTGCAGTCAGAATCGAATTCGTCAACGACATCTTTTGACGTAGTTCTATTTACTGCGCCACTAGAAAAGGGAAGAACGGCGAATTTAGAAAACTTGAAAATTCAATCTTTGATTTGAACTTTTGCACTTGTGATACTTTCCAGTGCAATAGCGCAATATTTCAACGCTACTCGTTATTCTCGCTCTAACAAATACAGAAATGATAAATAGCACGTACGAAATCATTTCCCCAAATGCATCTAATCTCGATGCAGTACGTGTTAATGACCTCCCCATACCCACCTTTGAACACCTTTGAGTACCCTTGAAAGATGCAGGTAACACGTACCGGCTGTCACGCAACCACACGTTGCATCACGCGGCCAACCGTTAAATACTGAAAATGTTATTTAAAATTAGGTAAGGTCAAACTGAGTCGTTGACAGAGTGGATATTTCTGGGTTTTTCAGGAGTCTTTTTTCCGAGGATTCCGAAATTTTTTCTTGCATCAAGGCAAATTCCTTTACGAATTTAATTGTCGATTTTTATAACATTGAAAAGATTTTCTTAAAATAAGTAATATGACAAGAATTTTTAACAAAAATGTCTAAACTTTGACACGAAAATATGTGCGGATTTAACAAAAGTTCGTCGTTCTCGTTGTCATTTCAAAAAATGTCCATTTCGTCCACTCTTTTCAATCTCATCCCCTCCAATATTAGCTGATTTGCTAATTTTGCTGTACTGACACATCGAACATTCGAAATACAATTTTATGATAGTTTTCAATTTTTTGTGCGATGAAATAAATTTCTTCTTTCTCTCCTATTCCTCCTTTTTATTTTATGCTCTCCCTCTTTTATTGTAGGTCGACGGAAATCCGTTATATTGGCACGTTCGTAATTAGTTGAATTAAATTTCAGATTTTCTTGGATTTTAGCTCCTTATCATCACTTTATCCACTTTCCCCGTCTTTTTAATTATTTGGTGATTTTGAAGGACATCTATCGAGTAGGTATAATTTTTAAAAAGCATGCAAATTGTGGAATTTAAGGGTACCGTGTCACTTTATGACTTTGAAAATATGCCGCTATCTGGTGATTTCAATTATTAATGTAAAATAAATGTGACTTAAATAAATAGATTTAAATTAAATTCGGAACAAAAACACCTGGTACTCAAAAAATTTAGCTCTTGAATCGGAATTGAACTTCAAATTACTACAGAGAAGAATATATGACTAGTGGGAAGGTCCATTTTAAGATGTAAATTTTAGAATTCGGGTGAAATTGAAGAATTAAACAGCGTATCTTCACTTTCACAAATTTTGTATTTTTCAAACTGTTGATTTAAAAAGTGTCATGATTATGGGAACAAATATCTCACCCTTTATTATTCTTTTGGATGCGTCGAACGAATATTGGAAAAAAGATGCTTTGTGCTTAAAACAACATTATTTTAATGAATTAAATCTTATATATGTTGGTTTTCAAATTATGAAGTTGCCGTTGAAGTTTCTGAATTTTAAAGAATGTAAAAGGGCGCCTTGTCGCATTATATCAACGAGGCCTATAAAGAGGTTTGAATAATTGTAGAATTAAAAAAGGCAATTTAATTTCACGACAAATTAGTCATTTTAATTCAATAAGCTGAACCATAATAAAGCTTCGAAACTTTGCCCATATAATCTAATAAATCTCTTCCGAACCATACGTTTGAAGTTTCATTTAATGACTTATGAATTAATTTTTTGCAAAGAATTCGATAAAAAGCTGTTAATTTATTTATTTTTGGTTTAAAGGTTGCTGAATTTGAAATTCTAAAAGTACTTCAAAAACACTCACAAATTAAACTGAAAATCTGGTCCGTAACATATCTCAGCATCAGAGATTATCCACTGACAACAGCTGTTTCTTATAAATGGAGAGAATGCTACGATCCATGAGTTTATTGGTTGCACATGTTGCTGAGGTAATGACCACTTCATATTTACGTCTTGAAAGTCTTACACGAATGACCTTCTGTATGGAAGGTCAATTCATCATCAGCGGTCAAAGGTTAACCAGCAACAACGATTTGAAGAAATCGTAGAAATCACAAACGAGTTAATTTGATGCGCTATTTAAAAAAGCAAAAAACTTGTTCAAAATACTTAATGAATCCAAAATCCATTGAATAATTTTTGAAATTATAAAAATATTATGTGATGAATTTTAATTTCCAAGCACTAAATATCAATTTTGTCCGAATATGAATTACTGATGGGTATCAGTTTTGAATAAAATTCTATATAATGGAAATATTTTAAAAATTCTATGTAAAGTTTTTTTTTTGAAAAACCAGTGCAACATGAGAATTACTTATTCGTTACATTACATTCCGCCCTTCTTGAACAATTAACTATTATCAAAGTTTTTCACATTAATCATTTCACTTTTGTTATTATCGTATACTCGGATAAGACAATGAGAAATCTTATAATCGCCATTCCTTTTAGATTTTTAAACTTTCGGTAAAAGTTGAAAGATATGATTTTTTATAGCTTTGCAAATTACGGCTTTTAAAAGGACATATTTAATAAAATTTATGTATAACACCAATTTTGCCTTATAAAAATTGAAATTGTCGAAAATTATTTCAGCCGAATGGAAATTTGTAACTCACTAACACATATATTTTCTTACCTCACTTTCCTTTTACTTATGTTTATACATTCTCTCAAAAATCTCATGCCTACCAATAATTACAAGCAATTAAAAGCAGTTCAACGTAATTAACTCATTAATTATGATCGGATTAATAGTAATCCAATTGCGCGAAATAGAACCGCCCACAGTAGCATTGAAATTTAGCCATATGTAAAAATATTCTGGTGGTTAACCTGTTGTTGGATAGCTATTAGATTTTATTACTGTATTTCACTCATATAAACAAAGTTGAAAACTGCTAAAAGGTAAAACTTTTACTATTATAATCAAAGTTTCATTGATAAAATTAATCCATGGATGAAATAATTTCTTTTACATTTAATGTTTTAAAAAGTTTTCAAAATTTTCGAATCGCACTTCTAAGTTCAAAAAGAATCCCGTCATTGAAATTAACTAATTAGTTAATTGAAATAGCTGCCCAATTTATATATATGTATATGTTTGGGTATGTTTATGTCGTGTTCGTATATTTCACTTTTTTATTCCCGTTAATAATTAAAATTAATCTGTAATTATGAAGCAAATCAATTTTCTTTTATAGATTTTCTATTTGTACATGTCAAATGTCATTTCATCAGTTTGCATCGGATAGTGGTTACGGTAGTCCAAATGATTATTTCTTTCGATGCATGCATTTATCAGCGCAAAATATTGATGGAAGGAAAAAAGATGCAAATGATCCAAGCTATATTCATCGTTTTTTTTCCAAGACAAATGAAGATAATCCAAGGAGAAATGTACAGGCTTGTGGGAAATTTTTTTGGCATTTGGAAAAAGTCGAGAAATATACAACTGCAGCAAACTCAACTATTCGAATCAGAGGTATGATTTCTAATTGCGGAATGATTTTAAAAGGAAAATTCAAATTATTTTTAATAAAAATGAACAAATTAGCAAATTCTGTTCATTCCAATGATTAGCAAATTAACTGTTCAAGTTTATCAGATATAAATTTTTTTCGTTATCAAATGCTCTGATTCAAATAAATGTAACCTGATCGTTGATTATAATAATCTTCTATAAGTAATCCAAAAGATAAAAGTCAGACTTGATCGTCGTCAAAAAATGTGCCGAAAGAATTCGCTAAAAATTTCAGACCAGTACAATATAACAAGAGAAATTGGTGCCAAATTAATTGCTCTTGCTGATGCATTTGATGCCGAATTTTTTGAAATTTAAATATTTCGAAGAATTATATGTGATTATTCTTTAATACCTTAAAATATGTATTAAATTTCCTGGCATTGAAATTGCGATTTATTTTAATGTCATTTAAAAAATATGATAACTTCCATTTGTTTATACAGTATATTTAGATAAAAGCGTTTGAAGTCAAAACATTAATAAGTGTTACTCTGAAGTGATTGACAAATCTAAATTGAAAAATTTGACAGGCAAACTGATATTGTTGTTATTGAAATAATTATCACTTCCGATAGACTAAAATTTGATTTTTGGATTAGACTTCATTCGCTTTTTGTTTTTTCTTGCCTTCTCGCGAATTGATCAATCGGAGCTTTATATAGTAATGTGAATATTAGTGGAAGATAATGATAGAGAGATGACTTCAGATAACGAAAACATTTAATTGTTTATTTAAATGGAACAAAAATGAATCCTTTCATTAAATAGATCGAATAATCGGCCATTAAAGCTATTGAATCAGTACAGTGTCGGAACTTTTCTTTTCATCAACAATTCAAATGCTGCAAAATTGATGGAATGAGACAAAAATAAAAAGCAAAAGAAAATAACTATATTCATTTGGTAATTCTGCCTATATACTAAATATTATCATTTGATGTGTCGTCATGACCATTTAATTTCCCCCGTCTATTATTATAATAAAAGTTTCATTCATTATTTACCAACCAAAATGCGCATTGTTTGTTACTACCGCTAATCACCACCAGCATCATAATGGAATAGATTATTTTGAACTATTTTCTGAAAGCTTAACGCGTATCCGGCTTACATTGCATCTAATTATACAAAAACTCTAAACTTTAAACGTCACTTTTTGCGACAGACTTTCGCAGTAAAGTACTTTTCTAAAAAAATGAAAAAAAAATACTTCGTCCTTTTTTAGAATTTGATTTAATTTTAAATCTTAGATGTAACGTTAAGAATGTGTCATATTTCTGTCAGGTTACTTTTGCACGGTTGCATGTTTTGAATCTTGTTTGCAGACAAGAAGATAAGTACTACACATAACACCGAGAGCTTTTTACGTGCTGGCAAAATTTTGTTGTTAATTCGTTGGGGAAAAAAGTATGTGAAACAACTACAAAATATCCAATTTTACCAAAAATTTGGTTGAAAAAAGTTGGATATTGAACAGTCACAACTGAACTTTATTTAAGATAAAAAATGTTGTCAAATCATCATTACAGGAAATTGAAGGAAACAAAAACTTAACAGATATATGGAAACCGCAATTCAATAAAACATGAGAATTCAGAAGCAGTACATGCTGGATCAACATGTCTAACAGCATAATTTGCCTCAATCTTTCTGTCAATTACCAGTATGAATAAAGGAAACCAAAACAACAGGCAAAACTTCATCTACTGAAGCTTCATTGAAATTTTCTTGTAGTATAATCTAGAATAACACAATATGGGCAGTTGCTTGATGTATCGCACTTCTGATATCAGGCCTTCTCATAAATTCGTTAGACACATAATTCAAATGAACGATAAAATGACATAAAAATTTTTAATTTGGTTACAGATTAAGATGTTTTCGTGCTTTTGAAATAAAATGAAATGATAACGAAACCGGAGATGAAAGATTAAAGGCTGGATGTGAAAGGAAAGTAGAAAGGGATGATAATAGAGCTGTTTCAAAATACAGATAAAACGATTTTTTTTTTTGAAGGAAAAAATTAGAATATTGGCAATAGGAAAGAATGTTTCAGAAACAGTGGGATGGATAAATCAGATCTTATTTGTGTGCTGTGCATGAACGTCTTGGTTTCTTCGCATTCTCTGAAAACAGGTACAAAGACCAAGAACTTAAAGAACTTTTGAAAATTTAAGCAAAGATGAAACTATTTGAGCTTTCCGGCTAGTGATTCTGGAATTCATATTAAATTTAACGAAATAAAATTGTTGATGATCAGACTATATTCAAATCTTGTGGTGTCAGAAAGATCTAGACATGAATCATAGAGATGACAAACCAAACGCGATTTCAATCCATAAAATTAAAGAATTCAAACTAGCACAATTTTAATTCTTCCAACTTACTTTTGGCTGACGAAGTTCGAGCAGAACGTGCTGGTGTTGCACTACTACTCGATGTTGAACTCGTCCCAATCATTTTACGTTTTTTTGGTGTTTTCTTAACTTCCGCTGATTTAGCAGCTGAAATGAAATTTTTTCTTGAAGTATTTTTCTTTACAAATGTAAGACAAAATTACGATAGATGTCGGATTATTTATGCAGATTTTTTGGGATATTATTGCTTCATAGCTAAAGAAATCTATTTATTGTCTCCCAGAAATATGTGAATGATATAAGCTCAAGAGTGTAAACTGCGACATCGTAAACTGTTAATTGCTTTGATAGCATAAAGTCAATGAAATCACGTCTAGTTCAGGCATATGAAAAGCAAAATTCTCTATATATTTTAAAATTTTTCAAACTCATCGGTACCTTTGGCTGCAGAACGGGTAAGCATACGATGTGTTGAACTGAATTCTTCACTAGCTGAAATGTAGTTTCTTAACTATTAATTTTGCTTAATTACTAAAACCATAGTAACAGATGCTTTAATACTCATTCTAAAATAATTGTTTGAACTTTTAAATCCTTGACAAACTTCCTGACAGAGATGGGTTAATGGGAAGTTTGAAGCTCTTTGACCGGAAATCATGTGGATCTCTATAACGTGTGACTTCACTACTAAGGAAAAACCTTCTTGTATTACGTAAAGATAGTCTAATAATCCAAAAAGTTTTCAATAAACTTGCCGATATCTGGAGATTGTGAATCGGCATCACCGTTCCCATCAGTATCTGAAATGCTTTAATTTATACAATAAATTTGAGATGACTATTATATTTTTCGTAATCTTTTAAGGCAAATTGCCTATTGTTCTTTTTGATCTCAAAGATGACGATTCATGTATGATCAGCAGAAAAAGATTTATGATTCTATTTAAAAGGAATCGAAATAGAAGTTATTCTGTCACAGCGGTAATATCCTAAACACTGGCAATAGTATTTCTTTTAATCTCGACCCATTCCTTTTGTCTCTTGCAATATTTTCCTCAGCATCATTAATAAACTAGCAAGTATAACGGAATAGTATGACAAATGAAGTGGTAAAAATCATTTTGCGAATGTTGTTCTTCGATTCCATCTGTTCATGCATAACCTACTACCTTTGTGACCCATTTTCTGTCTTTCCCTACCGACTAAATCGAACTTAAAGATTGCCAAAAACAATACACCTCCGATTAGTTCTGTTTTTCCGCTGCTCATTATCTCAGTTTGGTGACGAACTACTAGTGGAACTGGATCAAGTTTATCTTCCTGTTCCAGCGATACTTCTTTCATTAGTTTTGTGTCTTCATTTCCACTTATGATTTTCTTGTCGATTATAGGATCTGTATAATCTGGTTGAACACTCGTAGTAACCACTACTTCATCGACATCAACCTGTTCGTAGTGCGTTGTATTGATAGTAAATACATTGCTGCTATCTACCAGATTATTCGTCATTTCCAGCATTTCTCGCTGCTCATCGCGGAATGCATTCTGAAATGCGTTACCCAAAGCAACAATGGAATTATCCTGTTCTACGTAATTCTGAACGTCCGGAATAGTATAACTCTCATGAACTATAGGCTGAACAGTAGACATTTCGCTTGCATTCATTAAATTTTCCAGTTGTCCCTGCTGCTGCTGAAAATAAGTTTCCACGACTACTTCATTGGCGACATTCATACTATCCTGAAAATGAAAGAGAAGGAATGAAACTGTCTTCCCAAAAAAGATTTAGTCGCCTAAAAAAAATATCACTTTTAGTGAGATTTAAATCAATAAATCATTAATCAAAGTAAGGTAAAGAATACCAGGTAAAGCACATCCGAAGCATCGAAATCATTCATTCTTTCCGAAATATTACCATTGAAACTTTCCTCCGCCATTGACGATTTACGCTTGCTTAGGTATTATTTCACCGGAAAGACTGGAAATATAAAATGATTGAATGAGAAATTTTCCGACAAAAATTTCTGCATAAAGAAAGGTTCCTAAACTTAACAAGATCCATTTTTAGTGACAACCAGTCCTGCTCTTGCGCCAAACCCCTATTTTTTCTATGTATCTCTAAGGCTTTTCAGTTTCATATAGACCTAGTTCTGTCATCATCAAGACCTGATTACTATTCGCTCAAACCTAGTCTCGTTCAGTCCATCTAAACCTTGGACAAACTGCCCAATATGCAAAATAAACTTTATGATTTATGAAAATGAACTTCATCAGTGCTATATTCTTCCAGTTATCTCTAACTACTTCATGCAAAACGAATTCTATAGCTTATAGTTTCACAGTTTTAAAATTTCATCAAAATTTGTTAAAAACAGCAAAATCAGCCCACTATAAGCAGAATGAGTGAAATTCGATATGATTTGAAAGCTGAAAGCAGCATGCCTATTTCCAATTTCGAACTCTATCTGGCATATATAAAGAGCTATGGAACAAAATAATTGAAATAATACAGTAACCGAGAAATTGTCACAAAGAGAGATTAGAACAGACAGTCTGGAAAGACAAAGATTTCTTGCTCAGGGAAACGAGAAACCGGAAGTGCGCAGAGCAGCCTCCCCCTCACACTCGAAATGAGACAATGGCACTCAGTATTAGACGTAATCAATTCAGACCTGTGGTTCGCGCCAAAAACATTCAACTACCGTACACTCATGCAGGAATGCACGTAGCTTAACTGTTTGAAAAACGAAAGTGCACGTTACTATCAATTTGAAAAGTTTGAAGTTTGCCAATGGAAAATACTTTCAAATCGCTTTTAAAAGCGTAAGTAATGAGGAATGTGAATATTCAGTGATTCGATATAGCATAGCTAAAGCCAAGTGTGACCATACGTGTATCATTTCAGAAGATAGGTTATTTGCGTGCAAATTGTCCGATTTGGATTAGTGGTTTTCGATGTTTTTCTTCGGCCAGTGATGGCTTCTGTAACTAGCAATTGCTGTGTACAAAAATGCACAGCTATCCAACATTGGTTCTTATAATATTATCCAATACCTGTTCTTTGTGTAATTATAAATTACCGGTTTCGTTCTCGACCGTGCATCACTGATTTCGAGAGCAGTTCTGCAACAATAACTTGCATGACAGACTATTCTTCAAATATACTATTCTTACGAGAAATTGAAATTTAGACTCATTGGTCGAATTTGCAACGGAGGAAGAAATGAAGTACAGAAAAAAAAATTTTGTTCAAATTTAAATTGCGGTTAGCAAAGTGCTGTATGCTTCAGAACTGATGGAAGTATGGGAGTGAGAAATTGTTATTGATAGTTTCTTAATCTTAAATTCATTAGAAATATGATAAAACGAGCCATATTCGATATTTGGTGAATTCAAATTTAATTTCAGTCAATCGTTTTCACCAAATGTATTTAATTTAACTTTCACTAAAGTATTCTAATAAAACATTTTAACTGAATGGCGGATCGCAAAGATAATATCATGATTTGACGTAGTTTCAGACCAAACGACCAAATTAATTTCATAACTAAGAAAAACCCCTTCTGTCTGCTTATAAAATTAGTGAAAATTAGACATGTCTTTTTTATTTTGCAAAACTCACGTATGAAAAAGCAATATCGGTGATTCAGTTTTGGATAGTAAGTAAATCACATTTCTGATATTCTTAAGATGTTTAGAATCAGGCAATCCAGCTGTTGATTATCCAGGACTCAACAGATGTGACATATAGAAGACAGATGTTGCATGATGTGACTATTTTCCGAACTCTTGTCGTTAACTAATATGTGCGTGTATTTTGCTCGAGAATAATTAGAGACATAAGTAAGATGATGATGACTTCATGATAGTCATCAGCATTTATCCTTCAGGTCATTTGCCGGAAAGCACTAGATCTATAGCTTAGGAAACCATTATTCCAAACTCATATCTAGTTTATTTTACTTTCAGTTACTAAAGTATATTACAAGCAAATCACTCTTTCCAATTTTCTGAACACCCGAGAATATTGATTACTGAGGAGTCAACAAATGTGGTACAGTAGAAAAATATGAAATTATTGTAGCGGAGGTGATTTCACATTTTTCTACTATATATCACACCTGCTGACTGCTGAATAATCAACATATATGCACGATTTTGCTACAAAAAAAACCTATTTAAAACCATTTATTTCATGTTCACATTAACTCAAGATACATGCTTTATTTTCCAGAACGATACATATAACTTGCCAATATAGTCATTGATCATTTCAGTAAATGTCAAGAGAAAGAAAGTAGCAAAATGTTAATGTTGAGTGACTTGAAAATCTGAAAATTTCAAAGTGCTAAAAATTAAAAGCAATTTTAATTATATACATATAAATCCATCTGAAGAGAAAAGGAAATTCGAAACGCCGGGAAATTTTTATATGTGCAAAATTTGATGCAAATGAAAAGCTTTCCACTCTAAAAATGCTTGTGTACAACGTATCATCAATCTAAAAGCGATACTTTCATTGCATTTCATGTTAAGGAAAAAACTTTATGTGTTAATCAAATTCTCATCACAACCTTGTAATCTAATAACAAATGGGATATGTGACGTACAGTAGATGGAACTGGTTAATTCAAGACAGATGTACAGCCCATAAAGAGATAATATTAAGATGACCAATTTAACAAATAAATCTAGGACAAATCTAAGGCATCACTCAAAAAATTAAACAGTATCTAAATTCCTTCTATTTTTTTCTTCTAGAACCTGCGCAGTAGTCCTGAAATAAGAGTTAGAAGACTAAATATACTACTGATTTTATTTGGAAACATACCTACACAAAAATGAAGAATGGATAAACAACTATCAATTAACTAATGATATTTAGCTATTTCAAAAATAATTTCAACTTCTCTGAGTGGTTTGTAAATAAAAAGCTTTGACAGTAAAATTTATAAAATAAAATAACTTACTTTCGTCCAACACGTAAGCGATTTCTCTTTGGTAGTTCTAAAAAAAACGATAAATGAAGCATAAGCGGAAAATAAAATTTAGTGTCAAAATCGCAAATCCTATCACAATTTAAATTGAAATACTGACAAGTTGGATCCATATGTTGCTATCTTTTTGTTAGATAAGAATAATTCATAAGCACACTACTCAATTTACCAGTAAATTAAATCAACCCATTAACAGTGATTAATCTATTTGCTACTCAGATTTATTGCATCAATTACAAAAATAAAATAAATTAATGAAAATTACAGTTATGTGAAACAAACCATCTATTTTCGCCAAAGTTGGTTCAAATCCTGACAAAATTCGCTGTTTGGGAGGTGATCCACTTTCACTTTTTGCTGGAAAGGATAGAATTTGGACTACTTCAAACTTAAGTCTCATTTTAATGAATAATTTGAGCAGTAAATAAATAAGGTGAAATAATACCTTTTTGAAGTCATAAGAATATAAACCTTCAGCTAAATGTCAGCTGTTAAACTGAATCTCTAACTGTAGCGTTATTCTTACCTTTTCTAGCTGAACGAGTTAGCATAGGATGAGACGCAGTCGAAGTCTCGTTTACTGAAAAAGACCATGACGAAAAGAAAAATGATAACAAGATCAACAACCTCATCATTCTTCTAAAATCCTTCTAAAAATGAAATTCTTTTAAAAATGATCTAAAATCCGCAAAGGATGTTTTAAAATTTAGAAGTAATCTATGTACTCTATACGATCTAAAAGCAACAATACATTGGGACACTTCTGATGCAGCTCGTCTTCGTCGATTTGGTGAAACTTTTGGGATTGCAACTGGAAGAGTCTCTTCAACTGAAAACCAACGAAAAAAACTTTTATGTGGCAAATCAAAAAATAATAAGTGAACGTTGTCACTTGATTACAAAATTATTATTTGTATTTGCTAACAAATTCATCTAACTAATGCAAAAAAATTATATTTAATAATAACCTTCAATGTGTTCTGATTGTGCTCGGCTGTGCCGAAGCGATTTTCTTACTGGAGAGCCTGGAAAAAAAATGAAAAATATATAACTCAGAATTCAGTCAGTAATGTAGTCGAACAGTTGAAGCTGGAATATGATTATAACTAAAAGTTCATTGAAATCATCAACAGTCAAATGTCTTATTTTATATTTTCCTGATAATCATAAAAGTATCTTATCATGGAGGATATTTTTACATACTTTTTTTTTTACATCTGTGACAATTCATTATTTCATAACCTACTTTTGACTGATGTAAGTCGAATTGATCGCTCTGGTGTTGCTTCGCGGCTATAAGTTAAGCTTGTTTCACTTTCCAAATGTTGTCTTCGTATTTCCCCAGCATTACGTAAACTTTTAGCCGAAGTAGTAGCTTGAAATGAACGTTTCGGTGTCGTTTCTCGACTATGTGGTGAACCTGTTCTACTTTCTGGACGTTTTCGTCGTATTTTCTCAGTTTTCGGTGAATTTTTAGCAGAAGTTACAGCTCGAGTAGAATGTCTCGGTGTTGTTTCTCGGCTATACGATGAGCTTGTTCCACTTCCTCGACGTTTTCGTCTTATTTTATCAGTTCTCGGTGAACCTTTGGCAGAAGCTACAGCCCGAGTTGAACGTCTCGGTGTCGTTTCTCGACTGTGCGATGAGCTTGTTCCACTTCCTCGACGTTTTCGTCTTGTTTCATCAGTTTTCGGTGAACTTTTGGCAGAAACTACAGCTCGAGTTGAACGTCTCGGCGTCGTTTCTCGACTATGCGATGAGCTTGTTCCACTCCCTTGACGTTTTCGTCCTGTTTTTTGAGTTTTCCGTGAACTTTTGGCAGAAGCTATGGCTCGAGTCGAACATTTTGGTGTTGTTTCTCGGCTATGCGGTGGACTTGTCCCATTTTCTAAGCGTTTTCTTGATGTCATCTTAAACTCCGGCGACAGTAATACCAATTTAGTTGCTGAAGTTAAAAAATGATCTTAAAATAAGGAACAATAAGTTCAAAATGACAGCTTAAAAAATTTTTTACTTTAAACACATCAAATGGAACCAAATGTATTACCTCTAGCTGCAGAACGAGTAAGCATTCGATGTGATGAAGTGGATATTTCACTATCTGAAAATATGAAAATTTAAATCTATCATTTTCCAAAAGTAGTCATATTATACTACTAGGTTCCACATAAAGCTAACAGTTTTGACGATTACAAGCAATGATAAATAGTAAAGCTTTTGTAAGCATACCAGAACTTGACGATTGAAATGAATCGCTAGAAAAGATTCGAATTGTTTGTCCTTTACTAGCAGTATCTAAAAAAAATTGCATCACTGAAATATAGAATTATCTTTTAATATCTTCTCACCGAACTATCTATTATTAGCACTTTTTTTCTCGTAAAAATTTTCAAATTTACCAAAATATAATGCTTGCTGAAAAAAATGCCCTATTTTTTATTACCCATTCAGAAAATCATGATGAACTGCTTTCATTATGTGATCCACAGAAAAGAATAAACATGATATACCTTCTTGTTTGGGTTTGCGCTTCCCCAGAAAAGGACTTACTGGTTCAGGAAGCTCCATTTCGGTTTCTGAAATAAGAAATTAATAATTAAAAAACATCGAAATTACAGTTTTTTATTCTATACGTTCTAAATGTTTCAAATCTTTAATCAAAAATCAGTGAAAGACAAGCATTTTTTATTTTTATTCAAAATCAGCAAGATCTAATTTACTAAAACCCAGATGTCACACCTAAAATAATCAAACAGATGAAAATATCCATAACCATAATTTGCACTTCGTATATATAGTATAGTATAGTAGAAAGAAATACCTTTAGCTATAGATAAAACTTGTTTCGATATTATTTCCTGTGTTACTGGAACCAATGAGTGCGTTTTCTTGCCTGAAAAATGATAATTGATGAATATATTAATAATAGAATAATCACATAATGTTGATGCACAATCAAACCGCTTTATGGAAGTTCTTTATATTTCATTTCCTCCGGTTCTTTTACTTCATTTACGTCTTGAAATAAGAGGTCAGATTTAATTCGCAAATACCACAAAATTAAATAGGCATTTCAAATTCATATTTCTATGTTCGTTGCATGAAATTTAAAGTTTGAGAGAACAGAAAAGTATAATAATGAAACGCTTAAGAATTTATTCCTCTAGCATTAACATTAGAAGAGCAAATTTTCACTCTGCCAGTAGTATAAAATTCACGAAATTCGAAGTCAGTAGCTTACCTGATCCTTTGCATGTATTCGTTGGTTTCATTTCAGAGTGATGAACTACTGCTTTTTCGATTTCCACAGATGTTGGGTCATTTTCATCCTCTTGTTCATATGAAATTTTTTTCTGCAACGGTTCATTAACAATTGATGCAATGTCACCTTCCATTCCGGCTGCCACTTCATCAATTAAAGAACTTGATCGCATTTTCGGTGGTCTTGGAGAGATTTTAACTTCAATAGTAGTAGCATGTCTGGAGATTTTTGTAGCTGATGCTGAAATACTTTCAAGACCACCAGCATCTTGTATATTTCGTTTTTTTTCTGTGTGCACATCCGAAATGATGTCCTGAGCTCCTCCGTCCAATGGAATGTTTGGATCCTCCTGTTCTTCGTAACTCACTATCACTGGAGCTGTACAAATTTCCTGAATTAAGAAATTATGATTTTTCATAATCGAAGGTTCATTTTTATCATGACTTTTTATTTCCTCTCGCTTTTCGGAGTAATGTCCTAATACTCTCTCATGTGCTTCATCTTGTCTTTCTTGATTTTCTATAATATCCGAATCACTCTGCTCTTCAATTGATAACTTGTGTAAATTTCCGTGATTTGCAGCATCAGTAGATTCACTTTTTTCTCCTTCAGCTATCAAAATTTTCAGCTTATCCTGCACCTCCAAGTGTTTGTCCAAGAAAATCTTTTTGTTCATGTCCATAAGTTCCTAAAAAAATACAATTTTCAAACCACTGGACGCAAGCGGATTTTGTTTTTAGATCAGTTTCTCTTTTTTGTCCTTACAAATGAAAAAAAAATGTTTTCTAGTGTTATGCAGTTTTATGGCTTTCTAGTATTCCATATTATAGTGAAATATGAACTGAAACATGCTCTTTCTGTCCAAGAAAAACATTCATTTAAAATACTGTTGTTAGGAATTGAGACAAGAATTAATATTTCTTTACTAAAAAAAAGGGAAAGAAGCTTTAACAAAATACCGCATCCGGTGCATCCAAATCATCGACACATTTCGTTTCGAGGGGATGATTTTCACATTTTTGTTCTTCCATTTGATTAGTATTTGATGAAATGCTGAAAATGAACAGCTAAGATAAAAAGAGAAATTGCATCTTGCTCTTTTTCATTTAAAACTTTATATCTTCGTAATCTACTAAAAATAACATCTACCTCTCACAATTAGACATGAATGAGTTTGAAAGATCAAAGCGAAGACTTTTGAACTGTGACTCCGTTGCTGAAACTTGCAGAAATTAAGTTAAAACGAAATCTTAGAAAAATATCGCAGTTCTTCGAAAATTTCTTGAGCATCATGAAGAATCAACTTTTGAATGTCAATAACAAAAAAGGTTCAATTTTACAGAAAAATACCATCAGCGGATGTATTCGTATGCTGACGCCCTTTTCGGGTTTTCAAAATAGAGGCCGGTAACAGAACTGGAGAGAACTGATCACCCGTCAACGATGCAAATGAATCTTCTGTTTGTGCCCCAAATGCATAACGACGTCGTGGTGTGGGTGTTTGTAATAAACGTTGAACATTTTCAAGATCTTCTTTAGACAAAATTCTGAAATACGACTCCTTTCAATGTTAACATAAACTCTCTAGGAAGCATTTTCAATGCTTATTATTATTTTTTTAAAAATTGCGAAAATCATAAGTTCAGGAATAATCATTTTTAACATTGAAATATTCGCTCCGGTAATAAATTGAACGACTAATAACAACGTGATAGAACTTACAGATACAATAAAACATCAAAAAAGGAGTACATCCATGAGCCAATATTACAATTCAAACATAGTTTTACCATAATAAACCACGCTCAACTCAGACAACAAAAAGTTAGCGTAGGTAAATAGAACCTATATGCCAAATAGAAGAATAAGCAGCCAAAGACTCACAATCTAACCATACAAAAAAATCTAACTCTAACTATACAAATAAAAGAACAAAATACCATATTAACTAAAGAAAAAAAATTAAAAACTCAAAAACAAAAAATCTCAAAGTCTTACTCATGGGTAAATACCACAGCTATCCGATTTCAAATAATACCGACCAAAATTATACTAATCATAGTTGGAGCTCAACATGAATCTTAAATAACCAGACAAATAAAATATGCAGGAAACTTAACTAAAAAACATAAACTCAACAAAAGAACAAACTCGTGAGATGTAAAAAAAATATAATAAACAAAACTTGAGGAAAAAACAGAAACTTTCTATGAAACTAAGTTAAACTCTAGATGAAAATTTATAAAATAACCTCTCGTAATTCGAAACACGTCTGTCAAACACGGGACTTGTAGGATAGTTAAATGTTTTTGGAGTTATTTCTAACTCAACTGATTCACGGACAACATCATGCAGTTGTTGTGGTGTCTCCAGCATTTGACATTTATTGCATGGTCTTTAAAAAAAAAACATATTTTTTACACTTCTCGTCACGCAACGAATAATTCTAATACAACATAATTATTCTTAAGAATTCCGAAAATAACAAGTTCAGGAATAATTATTTCTTAATCTATTATTTTCATGATTTCTAGATTGCCGAAAAGTAATAAATTTATGAATTCCTAAATACAGTTCTCTTAAAATTTATAAAAATAAAAACTAAACAAAATTCACGGTAATTAAGAATTCATTTTGAATAGAAAAGAACCTTATAGCTGGTGATAAATATGGATGGGCAGCTGCACACTGCCTAGATAGTGTATCGTTTATCATCTTTTCGCCATCATCTTAAAAATTTATTTTTTTTTTCGAAAAACATAAATTATTTGGAATTAAAAATATTCTTGTATCTGAATTTAAAAATATTCTTGTACCTGAATTTTGTATTGTGGGAAGAGCAACACCTGAATATGGATAATTTGTTTGAATTAGTGGAAAATCTTCCAAAATCTTTGATGTCCATCGATCACAACGATCTAATAGAACCCCATTTTTTGGTTTCTCTGGCTGCAAATTCATCTCTTATTCAACATTAAATTATTCCATTTACCCACACAGTTGTCCATCTCGTCAAAAAATTAAATCACCAAAACTTACAATAAAAGGCTCTCTATTAAAGTATTTTAATTTTTGAGTATATTACCTGTAATCAAAGAACGACAAAAAAGCATAAAGCATATTATGAAAACTTGCCGGCAAGAGACGACTGAACATTTTACGTCTTAAGCAAAAACGATTCCATTCACGAATCCCATTAGGCCTCTTCAATAAGTTCTCTGAAGAAGCTAATTAATAAAAACATGATTGTCAAATGAGCCACTTGTGAAGTGAAAATTCAAACTTTCAAATTTGAACTAAATAATTTAAGTTTCCATATAAAAAATTAAAAAACATGTCCATTCGATCATTGATAATACGATAACATAGTCATTGAAGAAATATCTAAAGCACCACACTACCTTTTATAAATTCAATTTCTTTTCTGTCTAGAATCAAACGTTTCATAAGTTGTTGAACTTCACAAACGTGCTCTTCCGCTTTTGCATCAGTAATCGTGATTTTTTCACATTTGGTAGGCGGTTCCTAAGCATTAAGGCATAATTTCAGTCTATTTGCAATGAAAATGCTTTTTCTACAGAAATGAATCGCAATATGACTGGACATAAGTAATAGATACATATCTGGAGGATTTAGATAAATGGAATACTGCATACTACAAGCTATGGTTAGATGATTGAAGCCATCGATAACTCGATAGTAGCAGAAAAATGGCCCAATAGAAAGGTAGGACATTTAAAATTTGACTTTTTTGCGACGAATATGTAGCAAGCTGACTTCAAATGCGAAAATGTTGTTCACAAAATATTTAAAAATATGAGATCAAAAGTAAATGAGATCTTTGTTAGCAAACAACATTTTCATTTGCAAAGATCTCTTAATGCCAAATGCTGATTTTAAGATTTTCATGGAACATGAAATGAGTTAAAGGCACTATTATTTAGAATTACACAAGTGAAACTATTCCACGTGTCACTATAGCTCAAAATTTAACCGCAAAATAAAGTAGTTGCAACCACTGATTTTCTGATCTTACAATATATGTAATACCTCTAATCCACAGTCATTTTTCCAATTTGATTCTATCTGATTACATATCGATTGATATGGAAAGCGCCATTTAAAACGATCAAAGACTTTTGACTCCTGAAATTCCATCAAAGTTTAATCTAACCATTTATTTGGTCTATAATAAATACCAAACAGATAAGGAAGGAAATTTACAGCATTTGTGAAAAACTGATATTTTTTAGTAACTCCCAAAATAATTTGAATTTCCATAAAACTACAAACCTTCCCCATAAGATCATCATAATCAAGCAAAAAATATCCAATCAACTTGTGTTTTGATGTTTCAGTGATCTTTATCGCAAGTGTAGCCGAAAGCAAAACCTAAAAATATTCGCAAATGAATTATAAAAAAGTATGACCAGTTATAAGCTTTTATTAAGGATGATTAACAAATATGGTTGTTCGGTATCATTAAGTTTTGTTTTCAAACATTATTCTTTTCTAATTATAACAGTGTTAATTTTTTTTATTTTGACAATAATTATTGTGGGGTGAATTATCATAATAGTCTCAGACTAATCCCAGATAAAACTACTGTTCACTGATCGAATACCGCTTAAACTTGATGACTTAGAACGTCGAAAATCTTATTAACTAGATGACTGAATGGAATACTACATTTTTTTAAAGTAAGTTGCTTCTTACTGAAAGAAGCGCTGTATTAAATACTAAATTCAAAAGCTCTCTAGTATCATTAGAACTCACACCAATTGAATTCGGTGGATACCATTCATCGGCAGTTAGATTACACCAAAAAATTTCGTTAGGACAAGCACTTTGCATTTCTTCCAGCAAATTTATTATATATAGCTTACTGCTGAAAGGAAAAGTAATAAGATAGCAAGATGAGGAATAAAGGGATATTGGTGATGTGAAAATAAAAACTGGTTAATTTTTTCCCTTAATCAACTGGTTCATGCCAAGAGTTCCAATCTTTTAGTTTTGTTCGTCGAACTAGATCGATACCCACATCAAAATTTAATAATGAACTTACCCCGGGGGTAAACGTTTTTTACGCTCATTCACTTTTGCTTTCATACGAGCATTAAAAGCAGTGTAATTTTTTACTGGAAGCAATCCACCATGATGAAAAAGGAACACGACATTTGCATAAAAAACCAAATTTCTGGATGCCATCATACTATAGTTTGAAGCAGTTGCTTCTGCAATCTTTTCTGCAAAAAACAAAGTCATCAATGTCAGTTTTAGCTAACAGACAACTCCATAGTTTCTCCATATTTTTCTTAAATAATGGATAGAGTTAACTTTTCTCCTAGAAATGTAAGTCATCGAAACGTTAATCACAAGGAAACAATTACTTGCTTGATCACTAAAATGGTATGTGTATTTACAAATCAAAGTATTAAAAAAGAAACAAGCTCAACAAACCTGATGGCACTCTTCTCGAAATTTCAGCAAATAGTTCAGCAGCATAATGAAAAACTGCTGCGCTGTTTCGCAACCAGTACATGTCTGCAGTTGATAATGTTCTTGGAATATGATCAAACCATGGCTCTGCTGAAAATTGCCATCAAATTACGTAATGAAATACTTCAAAATAGTAATTATGTACTTAATGTCAAAAAAATGTAGATGCAAAATATTTCGAGATAATAAAAACACAACTTTACTACGTATAAGTAATTAATTGTATATGAATCACCTATTTCTTCCTCAATGTCTCTGAACTGAAATTTTGCGGCTTGATGCCGTCTATGCAATTTTATGATTAAATTTGAATAAAATGTCCATGAAAGATAATAGTTGTGACGTGGTGCATTTTCCCCTACAAAATTCCCATTTTCCATATTGTGCTACCGTTCTTTATTTATCGTTCTCTATTCCTAAGTTTTTATCGTACTTTAATCTCGGATTCGCCAATTAAATGAACAATTGAAATTCAAAACGAGAAAAATTATATCTAGGAAAAGAAAAGTTGTATTTGTATTACATATAAAACGGAGTATCAAACACCACTATCCAAATTTGCTTTTTCTAATTTGCACAGATTTTTCATAAATTCCAATTCTTTTAACAATTTTATGTAATCTTTATGCTTTCACTGGAAGGCACTAATAACATTTTTGATGAATTCAGTAAATTACAGCATTTAATCTCGAGAATCTCGGATTGAAAATATAATTTCGTTAAGATCTAATCTTATGACTTAAAAACTTGAATGAACTAATGATATAAATTACATAAAGCTTACAAAGTTCATCGAATTTTTGTTTTGCATTAACGACTTCTTTCCATATAAGTGAAGCGATTTGATGGATTGTATCGTAGCTTGAACATGTGACAATGTGTTTTTTAAGTGTATCATTGATTTCGCCATTAAACAGCAGTGATGAGATGATTATAGATTCCTGATTATAACATTATTTAATTTGCACAATCTGGTAAAAACATTCTGGTCACCAGCGATTTGATTCAATATATATAAATTGAATAGAACCACCAGATGGAAAGAGCTATTGATCTTATGGCTTCTGATTTCTGAAGGATATCGCCCAGACAAGAAAAAAACATGAAACGATGATGCCACAACGGTTTTATTTCATGCTTTTCTCTTGTCAGAGGGAGACAGACTATACTGAATAACTAGAGACTGTTAATAATTCTACCACTGAATCTCTCGAACAGCTCACCTCGATTCTCACGAAAGAAATTACATTATTTGAAAAATGAACGCTCAAATTCTAATTTTTTAATATACATAATCAAACATCAAAACATACATTTTCTAGTGGCACTGTTGATGTTTCACTGCTTTCAGAAATATCAGGTGTTTTTGCAAGACCAACTGCATTCAAATATGCGCATGCAAGATCAGACTTCTGCCCAATTGCATCATCGAAATTTTCATCCAGCCATTTCAATACCTACATAATAAATGCATTATAGGTGAAAGTAAGTTATAATCGAATAAATAACTTTTGTTTTTTGGGAACTTTAGAAACTTTTGACCATCAAAGTAAGCCATCCATGCAGGTTGCGCAATAAGGACTGAAGAATAAGAAATGAGAATAGTTGATTACCGTAAGCAATTCAACAATAAAGTATTTCCAAGCTTTTAAATCTCTAAAATAAGATACAAAAAAATCAAATTAACTTTATTAATACTATTACACGATATTATATCTCAATAAATTACATCTTCCCGCATGAAAAATTCAAAAAGCTATATCTTTTTAGCTGAAGTTGTACACAGCTAAAAGTTGAGGTATGATGTGGAACATAAAAAATGATGTTTAAGATGTGTCTTTCTCAAAAACTGAATGCAATTTTTTCAAATATGTTTTCAAACATCAATGATTAATCACTCCGAAAATTTTGTAAGATGTAATGGAAGGAACCTACAACTTTCTGTATAGACGGTACAAATATCGTAAATTCGCGGTTCCCGTTGAATGTGACAATTTCGAATGAATATGATGGCGCGAATATGAAAAAATCGTTTGTTTCACTGTATGGACTTTGGTGCTGCCAGACACCAGAATAATTTACCAAATAATCCTTGAAAAATTTAATTCGAAAAGATTTTTGTTAATAAATTCCGATGTTATTTCCATCATTCTGGTCCTGGAGCACAATATACAAATTGTTTAATACAATTTACCTCTCTCACAATTTATAAGAAAATGATACGGAAAAAAACCTTACAAGACAGTCCACCTGCTCACTGGTAATCGGTAATGTAAACAAAGACAGAAAAGGGTTAAGCTTCAAAAATGATTCTGTAAATGTGATTTGCCGAGGCAAGCGCTTGTAATAAAAGGCGTTCAGATCGAAAAGTGTACCCTAAAAATATTTTTAATGGATTCTTACGCCACACTGAATCTGCAATGTGTGTTACCAAGATGTTCACTGTTAAGTTATAATTTAGTTATTATTAAGTTTTATGCAACACTGAAGAGCAAGAAAAACTGAACAATTGTTGGTAATATACATAGTCTTGAAAGTAATTTAAATTAACCAGCTCTACTCAATCAATTAATACCTTAACAATGTTTTCAGTAGTTTTCCAAATCATTAGCATACGTGAAGTATCAGTCACATTTACACGTAGAAATGATTCCTCGGTATTCAATAATCTGTAACAACATACTTTTAAAGGTATTTTTTCCAAAAACGAAAATATGCTGGAACATTCTTAACTTTCTCAACCAGAATATATAACGAAATAAATTCCAAAGATATACAAGTTTGTTCCTATTTTTCAATTCAAGCAAATTATTCAGAGCAAAGATAAAAGTATTACCTCGACCATTAATTAACAAATAAATTACCGTTCCGAAATGCCGTTCCTTGCAGTATGTTCTTTAAAAGATGATACAATAGTTCGGAAAGAAAGCCATTCAGTACAGTTCTCAGGATACCACTGCAAAATTATTTCATAATTAAGTTCAAGCAGAAGTGATACAAAACTTCCGAAAACCTTTTAATAAAAAACAAGGTTTCCAAAAAACGTTAAACGCTATTAAATTAAGTCAAAAAAAAATGACATAATTAAATGGAAATGAATAAAGGATTACCGTCAGGTAACTTATAATCATCAAATCATTGAAAGTCCACTCATTAGGAGGATGCCCTTCATCATTTGGAAAATTGATTAAAAACAATATCACATGTGGATTTTTTTGTATTCTGAAATCCAATAAATAACTTGTAGTGTAAAAGGGATCTGGTAAATGTAACATTTCTGTAACATCGAAATTCTGAAGGCCATAATGAGCTTCATTTGATGATAACAAATAAAACATTATTAGAAGTACGCAAAAAACATACAATGATATCTATATCATGATACTTATGTCATTAGTTATTTCATTATTTAATAAGCGGTCAGAAATTAACCAAAAATAAATTTTGCCCTTTCTATAGAATTTCTATAAAATCTATAAAATTTTACCCTTTAGAATAAGCAACCCAGAGATATAATACAGGACGCGGATCATCCATTGGTTCTTGGCATGAAAAATTGTAAACTGGAGAAGACGAATAATAATATGATGCACTGAAAAGATGAAAAATTCGTTGAACATCTGATGCCGCAATAATTTCATCTTTTCATTTCTTTAACAGTTTATAGTAAAATGCTCCAAAAATTTTACACTATTAATACGTGAAACAAAAATAATTGCAATTAGATTGAAAAAAGCGATTCAAGGTTAGTATTGTGAATCAATCTTTTTCGAAAAGTTGATACATGCATTGTGCAATGCACGATCATGCAGTCATTAAAAAACGGATTACATCGAATGGCTGAACACTTCTAGAAGATTCGATTAATAAGTATGAAATATGTGACTCATCACTAAAAAATGTCTAATGGATAGAAATTCCTGCATTTTAATGAATTTTAAATAAATACGTGGTAGATGTTTAATGATTTTAATGAATACGTGGTAATTGTTTGTTTGGATTGTTTAGCACTGATAGGATATAGTTTTTATTTTAAACAATGATTAGAATTTACTCATTGCCATTGAGAAGATTGACGGTGATGAAAGCACCACAAGAAAAACCAATCACAACTGTTTTGCATCGTTCCAAGTAAGTTATTGCTGTAACGTGTATTTCATCTGGAATACAAAAAAGATAAACAGCGATCACAGTTTAAAATAAAACTATACCTAACAATCCAAACAGAAAGTTGAATAAAAGGACAACTCTCCTCTCGGATTTCTTCTAATAAAAGTTTACAAGGCTAATATTATTTAATTGTTTATTGGCATCATTTGTTAAACAAGTATGTGATTTTTTTTTTTATCTATTCCACCTCTATTTTTTTTATCAATCCGTTATGAATCCATCAAAAAGGCATGATGCACTTACCAACACTAACAGGATATGTTGCACCGTTACTGGCCACGAAATTAAATCTTCCATCAGAAATAAAAGGTTCTGCAAAAGAATAAATGAACTCATACTTACCAAGTAAAAAACTCTGCTCAGAATACTTCAGATTTATTTTATATATCTTCTAAGCTGAAAATAGTATACTGTCCATCAATTCTTTAATCTCAACACTCTTATTTTGAAAAATTGAAGTAACTTACAAGAGAAGTTTTTTATCCTTTTGTCTTTTACAGCAGTACTAATTTTCCGAAAGACAAACAGACCTATTTATTTTTGCACTTTATCTAAAATAATTACTGATTCAATGCTGCATTTGAAACTTACTGCATAAATTGCTACAAAACTCTGGCTTTTGCAATTCTACATCAGACGAATTAGGTAAATCGATTCCGAAGTGTACCAAAAAACAATCCCCACCATAGGCGCCAACTGCGATCAAATGTGAAAAATCCTTTAAATTTTCATGCAATAATTCAATTCTATTCCTCTTTGTTGCATCCAAAACCGTCACAACTTTAGTTATCTGAAAATAATTCTTCTCAACTGCCCCATGAAATTGACATTTAAAAAATTCCCATATTTTTTACTGACAATTTTGTCCTTTACAGCCTCCCCAATGTTATGAGAAATTTCGCAAGCATGCATAAAATTGAACGTCTCAAAAGGATTGGAAGATGTTTTAACCTAAATTTTTTTCTGTCGCTGAATATTTTCTTTCATTTTCTTTCAGTTCATTTTTTTCAGCGATTTTGCAAATTATTGACAGCTTAAACTAAATTTTGAAGTGAACCAACGAAACCTTTCTGCGCATCAGTATTTTCTTGACAACTCTACCCATTTTGACGCTATAATATGCCAGAAAATATTCTTCATTTTGTTCATCGTTCACTGCCACTACCACACCTGCGCTTCCATCTAAAATAAAAAATTTATAAATTGTGTGTATACACCACTTAAATATTATTTCTGATTTTCATTCAAATAAAGAGTTTCGTAAAATATTCACGAATTCGATAAACAAAGATTTCAAGTTTCTTTCGTCAAATAGTTGAGTGACTGTTAGGGTCGATATTGGTAATGATTGTAGTGAAATGCAATAATTTACCCCGAAATGGCAGACTGCAAGCATCGACAATAATACAGCCACTGCGAAATCCACAGGAATATAATATCGGTGACTTATAATAAATCTGGCGTATCAATATACAGTTTTTTCGGGTGATACAATACCACTCCGTATATTCTCCTGAAACTTTTCATTAGTGCTCAACAAGTCTTTTGCAAATTTTAGTTTTGCGAATCCAGATTTGTCCTACATTGGAGAAATGAATTCAAACTAATGTATTTAAAAAAAACGCTCCAATTTCAATATATTAAACTGCTGTATGGAAAATATTAGAATTTTATGATGGTATAATGATGAAACTTTGAAAATAAGTTCAAGCTTCAAGCATTAATTAATTATAAATTTCTTTTTCAAATTGTCCATTAGATTTAATCAACTGAATCATTTATCACCTTGTTGCGTCAAAAATTTTCCCCATATTTCGCTCCTTCTTTTTTCGCTAATCAGCTTAACTTTCTTTATTGTACCCTGCTGCTTTAGCATACTCCTCTAGAAAATAAATTAAATAACAAAACAAACGATTAATAGCTGCCGCTATCTTATACATAACGAATTTTTTTACAACACAGAAATTGTCCTTTAGAGAAATTGCTGCTGAAACAAAAGTTCATGATATAAAATTAAAGAATATATATCAAAATGAATGCAAAATGAGTCAAACATGAGCTTAGGCTAAAGTACTGATGGGACTCTTCCGTCAATTTCTTTAACTTTCGTCTTATAAATGCGCATAATTCTTCCGGAATCGAAAAATTTCTGTTTTTGGAGGGACCGTTCGTTAGGAAAAGGTTAAATAGTACCCCACGCAAAACCATACGTAAGAACGGGTCAAACTTTATTTGCCTTATTTGAAGAAGCACTAAGAATCAGTTTGCTACATATAGGAGAGAGAGTACACTTAAATATGATAGCACTATACGGCCAAAATTGCATGAAAAGAATATGTGACCGAGGGGGATTAGCAGACAGTATGAAAAGCGTGGATCATCCTTAATACCCTTCAGGTAGGGTAACTGTATTGTTATGTATGTAGGGTATTTATGCATGAGTAAAGGTATTTGTAATTGAGAAAGTTACCTACGATATTTTCTGATTGTTAAAGTTATCCACTTGCAGAACAGAATACACCTTTTTTTCTTAATTCTTGAAATTTGGTTAAATCAAAACAAACGATTGTTGTTTAGTTATAAAAATGATTTTATGGTTTGTGAATTATATAGTTGTATATGAGTATGTGCACGTCATCTCACGTCTATGTTTTATATATATATTGTATATATATAAAAATATATATGCAATAGATTTCGAACCATTTGTATTTTCTTGAAGTAGTGTTGATCGGTTGATCAAACGGTTCAATGATGGATTCGTTGGAACAGACTTCATTTCATCAAATTCAAGATGATGTTAACGAAAGTATTGATTTTATTTTATTTAAAATCATGAGAATCAATTCCATTCAATCCAATTCAGTTTTATTTCTTTCAGTACAATTTTTTCAAATTCTGTTCAGCGTCATTCCTCTCTATTAATAAATAATGAGAACGACCAATGCTTATGTACAATAATCATGAGTCCTAATTGTATGATTTAGTGTACATGGTTTTGTTTAAACGCTCGATAGAATTTCAACAGTTTGCCCGTATTACTGTCGAAAAATTACCAACAATTTATCAAGAAATTGAAAATGATATAAAATTTAAAGCAAATGATGTAATTGCTGCTATTCAAGATCAGGTTCTTGCTAAGATTAATTAAAAGAAAAAAAAACTGCGAAAATATTTTTTATCCACTAATTAAATGCATTTGAACTAATGAACATAATGTTTGAAATTTTGAGAATATTAAATATAAAATGATTTTTAATATCTACTGCAATAGCCGAATAATAATGCATTAATTAGCGTCTAATTTACAGTGAAATCAAAAAATATTTTAAAGTTAAAGAATTCATCATAAATTAAGGAAATCTGGTAACATTTTACAGACATCAATACCTGCAAATTTGAATTTCCATCGATTCTTCATGACATTTTCTTGGAGTACAATTATACTTATGGGTTATTATCTCATGTATTTTCAAGGTTATTTAATAATATATTCTCAAAATACCTGCAATCATCAGTTTCATTATTTAAAATGGTAATATAAATATTTGCTTTAAAATATTTGGTGATGATTTAATAAAGGATGTGAACAGCGTACATTTAAAGCTTTTGCTTTAAGATGAAGTTCGTCTTATTTACTTTTCTATACTTCACGTTACTCAACAATGCTTGGGTATTCATTTTAGGATCGACAGTTTTACCGTTACTTCTGGATTTCATCATTGACACATCATCAGCTATACTACTTGCTTATATCATTATACCAGCAATGCTCTATTTTAACTTATCAAAATACGATGAATATAGCCGGAAATCACGATTCATTCTGCTCCTTGCTGCGTTATTTCAAGTATTTCGAATTCTAAACATTCCAAAGAGATGTTTCGGTCATTCATTATTAGATATGTCCTGTGTAAATAAGTTACAGTAATTAAAAAACTAGAATTCAAAGAATAATTTGATATCCTATCTATTAAAACTCCAGACTTTATTTCCTTATCTAAATTTTAGGGTTTGTTAGTAGGCTTCCTGCTAAGTGACTGTTCAACAGTAATCATTTTACCGGTCGAGGTTATTAATATGCTTTTTGTATCAATAATTTCACGCATTTTGGGTCACAAACTTAATAATGATCGGCAGGCATATTTTGGAATTATTAATGGCATTGGATTCATTGTAAGTTAAAACAAAAGGTGTTTCCATTTCTTTTCGGATATGGCAAAAATATATAAATGGCCAGTCTTAAATTTTTATGTTTTCTTGATTCAACGGCAACTGCTCTTGCTTCTTTTCTATTTTACTATCGAATTTTCAAAAATTTTCGTTTATGTTATCCCAGAAATTATGCTAATATTGAGGAGAATTTAGTTCTCGAAAGTAATAATGTAGTTTGAATAGAATTGAGTTCTCCAAATTTCAGTTTCTTACCATCATCGGATATATTACACAACATTTAACTAAAGCTTATTTATTTTCAACTGCATCAGCTGTTCTTACGTCACATGTTATCATTCAAATTTACATGCGTCGAGTTATGCAGGTAAAATGAAATTAAATCCCTATCTTATCACTGAACTAGTTACAAAGCATTTCACATAAGTGTATAGTCATATCTCTTATTCCATTCTCAAATTATTGCTGGATTTAGGAGCATATTTTATGATTTTAATATATCCAAACTGAGAGCAGTTGGAAAATGCTTTAAATTTAAATAAAGGGAATTTAATTTGCAGGTTTATCAAGCTTTCAACATAGGTTTTAAATTACAATTGCAAGTTTATCGAATGTTTAATTAATAGAATTAATGTTACTACATTTATCTCATACAAAAAGGATAAATTTCTTCTATTTTATTTAATAGGTGTAAAATTAAACAATTTTATTTTGTTCCCTTAATTTATATGCAGTAACACTCATTTCTTTGATGCCTAGTCAATCAAAGTTTATGAATTGCAAAGGTCCAGGCTATTTCTCATTTATCTGAAACTATAATCTTATTTCAATTGGCATACAAACAGCAGTTTTTATATATGTTTTATGGTCCGGTCTCAATTCTGCGACCGGATCATAAAACCGGAAATTCTTCCAGTCAGCTTTGTACCCCTCTCATATGGTATTGATGACGACAACATTATCAATTTACTGCCAGACTTTGGTTCGAATTTTATTCGGTCAATATATATAAGCAGTTGGGAAACATTGGTAATAATGTTCTTCTCTTTTGTAAATGATTTTGAAAATATTTTGATACGAAAAAAGTTTCTAATGAATTTCCGAAAATTTGTTTAAATTTTTCTTTAGTATATTTCTCGGCTTTTTCGTTCCCATGTTGTTATTCAATCTTAAATTTTTACGTTTTGAAACTTTTTTACGGCCCTATGTCTTAAAATTTAAATCTTATTTCATTTCTCAAATTTCGCTTTTTAAATGTAAATAAAACTATTTGTTTTCTAAACCTTTATAAATCTTTCACCATTACTTTCACTATTATTGAATAAAAATTTCTTAACTTTGATCTGTTTTTTGATATTATTTGAAATAGTTTGAAAGAATATCTAAGAAAATATTTGATTTTTTTTTAAAGCATGAAAATAAGTTTTTTTTTAAATAAATACTGTTCAAAGATTATGACAAAAAATACTCGATTGCCTGGTCATACGAGGAAATTGTTACAATAAGAAAAGTTAAGCTAAAAAATGTATTTTACTTATATCTGTCATTGATATAATAGCTTATTTCAAAACAATCATATCATTAGAGAATATAATAATTTCATCTTTTTCTTATGCAACTGGTAAAAATAATAATGATGACAATTAACAACAATAATTAATAGTAACAATGATAATAAAATAAACAATAGTACGAATTATAATTATATAAATAATAATAGCGTTAAATGTCGAAATGTTGTATATTTTTACAATTTACCTTCAAATTGTCTTTCTTTCACTTTCTCTGTTTTAATAAATCATTTTTCATTGAATTTCTCTTTTCCCCACTCTTTTTTTGAAAATGTAAAAAAAATTTTAAAAAAAGGAAAAGTTCAAAAATATTCCGTTAAACGATCAAATTTCTTTTCTTTTGTTTTTTGCAAAACTTGTTGAATTAAACATCATCTAACATAAAATGCGTGTTGTGGTCAGTTCATGCTTTTCTTGTGATAAAATTCAGTTTTTCCAATCAAGTGAAAATCAAATTCATGACAATGATGATAATGACGATAATGATAGCGATAGTATATAATGATAGCAAATACCTTCGACAAACAACTGTTCCAAACGTTTTCGAATAAGCATCGTGCATTTCTTCCCATTTTCTGGCCACTGATACTAATAACGCTACCTTTACATATGGTTTAAAACTTCGCAAAGCATATATCAGCAGTAGATGTCAAATTCTCAAATTTTCTGTTTCGTAATTGAAATTATGTAAATTTTTGCATCTTTCTTTATTTTTATTACTTTTATTTTCGATGGAAAGAAATCTGAGTGATTAAGCAAAATATAAAAGCAATAAATGAAACGAAATTTAAAAATAAAAATAATTTGCTTGGTTATTCATCTATACCTTTTGTTACTTAATACTTCTTGATTTTTAAAATTTAACGTGATATTTTAACTCTAAATTACAATTACGTGTACTAGAAACATACAGGTACAAAGATATAATGTTTATAAAATCTGTTGATTAGATGTAATGTATTAATTAATTCTCTATAAGCAATATTTGTGAACATATTAGTAATTTAGTAAGAAATCAATCTCTGAGAATTAATGTTGATAATGTATACTCGTCAATATCCATCACTATTGAGAAATGATTATGAAAATATCCCCATTAGCTATTTTCTGTTCTATTCAACTCAATTTTGGTTTTAAATTTAATTTTCTTTAAATATATTTTTGTTTTTTTAGAATCGACTCTTTAATTTCCTTTCTTTTTTATATTTCTTGCTCAATTTTTTATTAATTATAATTTTTTTTTGAACTTTTCAATTTTTTAAATTTTTGACAATAAAGCATTCAATAGGTTTGGTAAAAGATGGAATGACATGCTATCACTGTTGACATTACTTGTGCTACTGGGTTAAAGAACAAATATTTTTTCTTTTCTCGGAAAAAGATTTAAAGTTTCGTTTTCAAATATTGTGACTTTTAAAATTAAGAATTGTTAGCTAAATTCAATTGTCTGGCTAATCTTGTGCAATTTTCAAAACGTGAACTGCCTATCCAATTTTCTACCATCTTCAAAATCATGAATTAATTATTTACTAAATTCAGTTGTCCATTTAACTTTATATCACTCTTAAAATTTGAAATTATTTGTTGATTTGATCAATTTCTTTTTTTTTCACTTCACATTCGTAATAAATAAATGTAAATGTGCGTTAAAAAAGTAATAATTATAAAGCAATGTAAATCACAAATTTTTTTTTTTGCTTTTTTTGATAAATGCCAAAGATCTTTTGGAGTTTAGTATTATTGAGGTGCGAAAGAAGACAGTTGTTCGAGATGATGTTGATCCGGAATTGTTTCATTCCTGTTTCTCTTCTTCTTCGTTTTTTTTAGATGTAATACTTTTTCATTTATTTTTTTCTTGTTACTCAACAAGTATAAAAAGCATACACTTTAAATTTCCTCTAAAACTGATTTTTTTAGCTCTAATGTCTTTTGTTTTTTTTAGAAAGTAAATTTTCAAATATTTTATTACAATAAAATTAATTTTTGATCAAGGTATAAAAAATTTATAATTTAATTATCATTACTTCATTGATGTTACTTCATTTTATAAAAAAATCACTTAGTACAATATTATTACTATGAAATGATTTGTTATAAAACACAAATTATGTACTGATTATTTCCACAACTTGAGATCTGATAGTTTTATCATGACGATTGACATTGATGTCAGCGTCATTCTTAAAGATGAAGAATTTTAAAGCACGGAAAGTTTAACAATTCATTTTATCATGCGTTTGATTTTTTTTGCACTTCAACATTGTTTGCCTTTCCGCATGTAATATAATTTTTAGTTTTTTCTTTTTCTTCAAAAAATTTTAATAATTCAAAATTTTTTTTTGTAATAATTTTCTTAATTTCTGATATAGTCTATGAAAAAAGTAATGGAAAATTTTAGCATTATAAATAATTTATGCTCTTATTATTAAAGAGATATTTATATCTTTCATTTCATCCTAAATGGATAAAATAAAATTTGTTAATTTTCAAAGTATGTGATCAAGCAAATATTTATTACTCCTTCTATAGTCTAAAATAAAAGAAGTTGGAAGAACTTTAAATTATGTGTAATTTATATTGTATTATTGACCAAATAATTAAGTTCTTTATTTTATCCGAAAACGCATAATATGAAACCAATTTCAGTTCTCAAATTACTTGATTAAACGATTATTTATTATCACTTGATCAATTTATCGTACATAAATTTTAAATCAATTTTTTTAGCATTTATTCATTTCCTATTAAGCAGACATCTTCCTATTACAACTGAATTATTTGAAAGGAACAGAATATATATATATCTTCATAAATTCCTAAATTAGTTTTGGAAATTTGTGAAAAAAGAAATAATTGAAATTCACAACAGTTTGTACTTATATTTCAGACTATTAGTTTCTCCAATAGTTAGGCTCTCTAAAATTGTGTAATTCATCCCTCTTTTCCTCCACCATTTCTAAATGATATTCATCCTTTTATTTTGAATATTAGGGTTATAATGTTATTGAAAATGATAGTAATGAAATAATATGCGCATTAATTACATTGAAATGATTAATTACTAATTGATTTATTGTTGTATTGATTATTGCGCGCCTGTGCTTCCATTGTCATTGGTTCAGTATAAATGATGATCATTTTTAATCATTTAATAGACAAATGGCTAATAATAATTGAAATAATTTAATATAATTTCTATTAAATATTTTCTTATCTAATGACAAATCGAAATAGCCGCGAATAAACAACAAATAACAATTAATGTTAATGGCAAAACATCCTAAGCGATTTGTTTTGAAGCTTTCTAAATTAAAGTCAACTTTTAAAATGGGAAAATAAAAATATCTTAAAAGTAATTCCCACAAAATAAACAAACAAAAGACTTATAAAAATTTGCCGAATCATTTTCATTTAACCGTTTTCATTTTATATTTTTATTGTTTCGTAGTTATTGACTATACTAGAAGTAATCGTAACGCTCTTAATTATTATATTAGTATAATTAATGCAGGAAATAACATTCTTTTTTTACTCATAAAAATATTTTATGCTAAAACTTAGTAATGTCACCATCGTCTCTCAGTATTTTGCCACAAAATTTTGTATTTCCAATTGTTTGGTCAGAACTTTAAAATACACATATATAAAATGAACAAGCAAACGATTATATAATAGATTAGTTACAATAGCTATATTGAAACATTTAAATAACCACAAGCTTATCAGTGTAATTTCAGGCCAAATGATATTGCTAAAATAATCCTATAATAAGATTATTTCATATCATTTCAACTTCTGCTGAAAATTTTTTTATAGCCGCTTACTATTATTCCGTTGTTAATTGTTTTGCTGATTTTATGATTTTACTTTCACAATTTTAATAATTTTT